AATCCAAATCAAGGTATCTAGGCTTTCACAGCTACACCTTGTCTCAATCATTCTAGGATAACTTGTCTCATGATATCTAAGTTCTCTCTGCTCACATGTCCACTGCGCTATTTCACATGCACACGTAAGTGGCATAAAGTGTTTATCTCGAATGGCGAATGAAAACATAAAGTTCAAGAAGAACACATATGATGACAAGTATCAAAGAAATTGACAGCGGAATTTCATTAAAAAAAAAAAAAAATCCGATATAAACTTTGATGAGGTTACCTTAAACACGGGATGCGAATGAAGTCAAGATTGTAATCATCATAACGAAGAGAATATCATACATTGTGCTTGTAGTAAGCATTTCCCTGAGTTTGAGTTGATATTAACACCTTTTTTTTCAAGTGCCTAATAGTCAATGTAAATAAATGAACAATTTTTTTGGATTGAGATAACAAACAGATAATGGCTTTTGACCCACATTTATTGCCCAAACTTGGTGCAAGAGGATTTTGACAATACTTTTTGAAAAGCCTGCTGTTCAGTCATCCTTGGCAGCAAAATTATAAAAATGGTATCATTAGAAAGGATATTAGTTCTCCTCCTTTAAAATGAAGTATGGTTCAATGTCCCGTAAGTTATAACTCTTTAATTGGAAGCTACCAAAGTTGAGTTCACTTTTTTGGGTAAGCACTGTCCATATTTTATACGAAAACATGTTCAAAATACGACAAAATCGTATGAGTACAGTAAAGGAAATACGATAATCAATCATCAACGTCATATTTATGTTTAACGCTTTCCCTTACATTTTTCTAAAGTTTATTGATTTACATCAAAGTTTTGTTTAAATATTCACTATTCATTTTATATTCGATGCTCACTTTAATGACGCTTATTCGTTTACTATAAAAAAAATCAAATATTCCTTGTTCTTTCCCTCAACTTTATTAAACTTTCAATATTGTATAACCCTCTGGATCCTACAACTAACAATCTCAAGTTTGCTCTTCCCTAAGACTGCTTAATGTCCTCATTTCCAATTTCCTTAATTTACAAGTAACCACAAGCAGACCAAAATTGATTAATTTCAAGATACAATCATTTCCCTCTTCCGTCTGCTCATATAGTGTTTTTGAGAGGAACTGTAGTGGTGCCATTTCCAACTAGATTGTAACACAAACTCGCGTTTAAGTTCTAAGGCCTACCTTTCTCTGTATGATATGGAAGCTGTATATATATATATATAAATTTGCGCACCATGTAACATTTTAGTATGGCTTAGAATTGCGACGTAGCGATGTGACATTGCTACCATGGTATTCCTCAATTTAGGAACAGGATCACTTTTCTAATTTTTACCCTCACTATAAGCAACTTCTCTATAAGATCATTGTTAATTTATCATCGTCATCTTTATCACATGGTCACACCAATGACCAGGGGCTTACTTCGAATCATCTGGCTATCGCGTCTGGTCAGGTGGTCGCGTTACACGACCTTTCATGAAGCGAAAACGGAACGTGACGCGACCTGCCGTAGATTTGACGTAGGGATTTCGCATTCTCGGACCAGACCATTCGTAGATAAGAGTGGTTTATTTCAAGAACATTAAGCTACAGTCCCATATACGTCCCGGACCGTCCCGGACCATCCCGGACCCCATCCGGGGTGATCCGGGATTCGGTCCGTGTTGACACCGTGTTGGCACCGGGGTGGTCCTGGATGGTCCTGGATGGTCCTGGATGGTCCTGGATGGTCCTGGATGGTCCTGGGCGGTCCGGGAGTCGACCCCGGATGTTTTTGACGGTCAAAAACTGCCGGGGTGGTCCGGGACAAAAGTTTGATCCGGGGTGATCCGTGTAGCCACCGTGCTGGGTCCGGGGTCATCCGTAGTGGCGCCGGGGCGGTCCGTGTTGATCCGTGGCAGTCCGGGAGTGAGTTATTGACCGCCCAGGACCATCCAGGACCATCCAGGACCATCCAGGACCATCCAGGACCACCCCGGTGCCAACACGGTGTCAACACGGACCGAATCCCGGATCACCCCGGATGGGGTCCGGGATGGTCCGGGACGGTCCGGGACGTATATGGGACTGTAGCTTTTAAAGCATCACACTTTTTTTAACAAAACATCCCGGACCATCCCGGATCACCCCAGACCATGGTCCGGGATGGTCCGGAGTGGTCCGTGCTCGTCCGTGCTGGTCCGGCTTTATATGGGACTGGGGCTTAAAAAGCATCACACTTTTTTTGAACAAAACATCCCGGACCATCCCGGATCACCCCAGACCATGGTCCGGGATGGTCCGGAGTGGTCCGTGCTCGTCCGTGCTGGTCCGGCTTTATATGGGACTGGGGCTTTACCCCCGAAATTTCGTGAATAAAGGGGCATGTTTTCATAGAAGGTCGGGTAACGCACCATCCGACTCGACGCGATGATCTGATGATTTGAAGTAATCACGGGCGTACTGATGGGGGTGGGGGGGGGGGGCAGTTATCCCCAAATAAAATTCAAAGTCGTGGTTTATTTCTAATTCAATACCAGTATTGTCCGGGATGTTTTCACTTTTTTTTTGTAAATTATACTTTTTTATGCGTTTGCTTGAAAAACTACAAATTCCCAAATTCAAAGTCAGGCAAAAAATATACTTATTCAGAAGCCTACATGTCAGGGCCCGCGAAACGTTGGGGCTCAGGTGGCTCATGCCCCCCTCAAGAGAAATAGAAAGAAATAGAATAGTGACCTGCCAGTGTCACAAATGGGGTATCAACATAATTATGCTCGTCTGACTATAGTTAAAAGCCTTTTCTCCTGGACCCACGCCAATTTACGCTCCACTCGCTTCACTCGCTACGCTCTACCTGATTGTAAATCCTTTAGCCCCCCCCCCCCACTTTAAAAAAAGTTCCGCGGGGCCTTTATGTAACATGTAAGAGTGGTGGCTATGCGGGTTGTTGTTCTGCCCCCCTCAACGTTTTTGCACATTGCGCCACTGGAAGTATTAAGCTATGGCCAGGGCATGTTTAAACCAAACCCTGGTAAATAAAACTAAGGTCACCGATATCAAATTGAAAAACGTGTTAAATGTATTCAAAGGGCTGTCGGCGAACTTCTACTTAAAGCCCCACTATACTACTTACATGTATAGCTACTTGCGCCTTCTAAATAGCAATTAATGCCTAATCCGTTGGTTCCCCATGATCCCCTTTTTCTTACGTTTATTGAGAGCTGATTTGGTGAGAAAACCACCTGTCAGTGACCTTACAGGGAGGTCTAAACCCCCTGGTCAAACTCCAGCTTGTCAATTTGGAATCGACTTGGAGTTGGTTTGGAGGTGTGACTTGGTTATTACAATGTACAATGTTGCCAATAAAGTTGGAATAAATTTTCTTGCCTCTTTTCATGAAGTGATAGTGAGTATAATCGTTTATCCTGAACTTTGTTGAACAAGCTCTTTGACTCTTGGATTGATCAATACAGTTGTGAGAAGATATAAACTTTATCTATTAAGAACAAACTATATTGGCACAATCATGTCCTGAACAAAAAAAACTATAGCAAATTTATTGGGAGCAGCTAGTGTACACCTCAACAAGGATGTCACCATATATACTTGTGAAATGGTCATATTTTTCAGGGCTCCATCAAAAAAATTGCTCCTCCCCCCCGCTTATTCAGCGGCTGACTGATTCGTTTTCGGCCCGATTTAAAATGTTAGCCCCCCCCCCTTAAAAAAATCCTGCGTACGTTACTGGCGTGTATCATTAGGGACTTTTAGATTCTGCACGACGAGAACGCGGACTGCCCTTTTAAGGCAATGTGACGTCACTGCCAGTGCCTTAAAAGGACGTCACATTGCCTTAAAAGGGCAGTCCACGTTCTCGTTGTGCAGAATCTAAAAGTCCCCATTCATTTACGCCGTGATGCATTAATTAGTCGCATTTCCTGATGTTTTGTAGTTTATAATTTATTGTACTCAACTTATTGTATATACAATTCTTTTATCAAGTTGGTGTTAATTTGCAGACTTAATGACTACGGATGTACAAAGAATATGTGTCTTAGAGTGCATTCAAGCGGCTATTAGAACCACTGTTTTCAAAGACGTTTGGTTTAAAGATACTATGTCCCTTTTGCAGCCAACATTAAATTCTGTAGAACTTTGCAGGATTCATGTATGTCCTATCTGTGAAATTAAACCGTCAGCATTGTCCTAATATTCAAATTATGCAAAGAAACCCGTTTACTTGCTAGACTTCACTGTCAGACACTATTGAGTGACTGACTGTTTTTTTCTTCTTCTTTGGTAAAAACATACATAACATTTTGTCTACATCAATAACCCGCTTCTTGTAATGGCCGCCAAAAAAGGATTGAATCTTTGCGCAGCACAAAACGTACGACCATTCGGTACAATGGTCTGAAAATCAGACTATTACTTACTGACTTGGTAGCACTTAAGTCGATTCGACAACTTATAGTCGTTATACAGTAGGCTTGCGGGTGCACCATGTGTGTGAGAGAGAGAGAGGATTGAGGAGTCCTGAAAATTAAAGGACTCTGACTCGGTAATCTTTCTTGGGGGTGTGTAGTCCTGGAAAGGACTGTTTGTTATCTTTCTTATAGTTTTAAGGAGAACTATAGCGCTTGGAGAGGATGAGTGGCTCGACGTTTCGAACAGATTGACTATCCGTTGTTATTTTCCCATTTAGAGACATTTTCAAGCCCCCTTTTTTTAGCCGTTCGAATTTAACCTTTTCATTTTTTGGCCTGCAAATGGGACATAGTACCTTTAAAACATGGTTTTCATAGCTTCAAAAAATCGCTTGAACGCACCCTAATAAAACCGACCTTCCTTCAAAGCGAATTATAGCCATCAGTACGTAATCCTGTTTACTTCGGGTCTTTTGTGACTGCATGTGTGAGTTTGCCTGTGTGGGCGTGTGTGTGTGAATGTGAATTGTTTGTTTTTATAGTGTATCAATCATAATTATTGCATAGTATCATTTACATTTATCAGGTACAACGTGACCCAGGCTTGAACCGGACAGGTTCCGTCTGAACATGATCTGCAGTCATTTTGTAATGTAACAGAGATCGACGCGCGTATATCTCGTATCTCCATATAAACATTTCTATCGACAATGGCAATGTCGACAATAAAAGAGATTACGGACAATGAACTGTCCTTTGTGCCGTGTTTACGATATAACGGCATGAAGCAATTCATTGGCGTTCAGTCTATACATAGAATGGCATCACATAGTAGTGGTCGTGCAGCTAATGGTGAGTTCAGAACATTGTGAGGTTGTAATTTCTTGTAATGGGCGAATACATCAGTTAGCGTTGAGTTAATATCCAGCATTGTATTTATCTCTGACAACATGAATTCCAAAGGATAGCATTACATTACAGTTTGGAGGCAGAAGGCCTACGAAAGTTGTTATATATCCAGTCGAGTGTGTCATTATGATCGAAAATTCTTCTACCATGGGAGTATGTTTGACGTTACATAAGTTATACTGTAGGATCTCGCCCTAGCTACTGGGCAATTCCACGGTAACGGAAGGACACTCAGACAAGATTTTTGAACTTCAGGTTCATACTAAAAGAAATGTTTTATTAGTATGTATTAAACTATGGGGAACAAAATGTGTTTCAGTCAAGTGGAAAGCTTCATCAACTTCACAAAGTTTGGATAAACACTAATTAACTGGAAAAACCATGTCCATTTTTATGTCCTTCCGTTACCGAGATAATTAATATGCACATTCTTAAACTACTTAACTACAATGACAATTTTTTTGGGGAGAATTAAAGGCACTTATATAGGTATTATATCTGTACTGTTTCACATCTTATACTAATAAAACAGTTCTTTTAGTATGAACCTGAAGTTCAAAAATCTTGTCTGAGTGTCCTTCCGTTACCGTGGAATTGCCCTACTAGGTTTGAAACGCCAATATGAACATTATAAATGGCTTAAGAATATAAATGACAACGAACCTTGTATAAAGCCTAAGGGAGTTCTTGGTGAAGTGGGACACAATCTTGATTTTAGGCTTTATACGATCTACGTGTAACTCTGTAAATATTTATTGCATATATGATAGTGGGTGAAATAGCACAAAGTTTCCCGGTTCACCTCAACATTTACAAAAAAATCCCCACCCCCCAATACTAAAGAATACAGAAAATGTGGGGATTGTGCCAGGGGGTCTCAGTCAAATATAAATACTGTAAGCATGCGTGACCAGGAAAACACGTATAAAGGGTGTTTTTTTTTATAGATTGGACGCGGTCCGCGCGGTTTAAAAACGTCTATTTCGGGCCATTTTCAAGAAAAAGGGAACTTTTTCAAAATGGTTCAAAATCCTGCTGTACGCGCTGGTATTAGCGCTCAGCGGTATTTTTCTAGTCTCAGGGCCAGACCCGGGCCGGTGGAAAATAAGGGGTAATAATGTCCATTGGTGAGACTACCGGCCGCCGCCTGTGCCTGCCGGTCTTTAGATCTTCAGTAGATCAAGATTGATGCCCGCGATGCAAACCCAGACCTACCAAGTCTCACGCCTATAGCTGGTCCCTTATATTTTGTTTTGCATGGTAGCATATAGTAAATGTTCATCGTAAATTGTGTAGTTTTTGTAAACACTACATGTACTTTACATAAAATAGATCAAATTTAAAATGATTTTTTTTTCTTCTTCAAAGAAAGGACTTATAATAGTTGTGCATTAAACCCATTTGGAAGTGTATAGGTTGATGTTATTGCTTCTCTATTGAAAAAAAATGTTTATACATTGTGAATTTTTCATCAGAAGCGCATTTTGATTTATTTCAAGTTCAAGTTCAGTTTATTACATTGTCAACAACTTGAATGGTAATCCCTTCCAGGCTTCAAAATGCTCAAGGGGTTTCAATTTTACAATACTTGTTTAGGAGTACACTTTAAACACCAAAAACCGTTTAGGATGTGAATCCGGGAAAAACCACGCGAAAAACATAATTTAGGGTGTGCTTTGGCTTCAGATTAAGAAGAAATCCTCGTTTATGGGGGTGACTGGGAAACCTGTGGTCATGCACGCATGCATACAGTAGGGCGCTTTAGTAACGAGACGGAAGGCAAAGAGGACCGCATAATTCACTCAACCGAGATCAAATTATGTATGCAGTTCGGATTCTGTCTATTGAAATACTATTATTCTTATCAGGCGAATGAAATAATTTGTATTGAGGCACTTCACAAAGACTTTAGGGAGTTTAGGGAACGAACGCTTTTATGGCTGAGAACGGTCGTGAAAATCAACAAGACGGAGAAAATTCTGGTTCGCACATGCACAGATTTATTTTCGTAATGTAACCAAATTTCTTTGTGAAGTGCCTCAATACAAATGATTTCATTCACCTGATAAGAATAATAGTATTTCATTAGACAGAATCCAAACTGCATACATTATTTTGATCTCGGTTTAGAGAATTCTCCAGTCCTCTTTGCCTTCCGCGCCCTAGTATTTCTACTTGACTGAGACCCCCGGGGGATTGGGTGACACGCACAGACACACATCCCTCCAGCGATGCCACCATGATCATCTGATTATGCCTTTGTTTAGTATTCTTTAGTATGTCGTTTTTGATGGGGTGTTCGTATCATGTCTCGATCACTCACCACACGATGAGGATGATGACGATAATTATAGTAATAAGGTTAAGAATTATGCTAATAATAATAATGATAATTACAATAATAATCGTAATAATAATAATAATAATAATAATAATAATAAAAATAATAATAATAATAATAATAATAATAATGATATTATTGACAAATGACAATAATGATAATAATAATATTAACAATAATGATAATGACAAAACACTTTTCTAGACGCCATTGTGATTTTTCCCCTTGCAGCCATCAGCCAAAATATAATCCTAGAGAGCTAGGACAATATGGAATACTGTTTTAAAAACACATTTTTGTAATTCTTTAGATCTGTACAACTGTCCTGCAGTGAGAAAACCCACCCTAGCCCAGGTGAAAGATATCGCAAAAGATCTTGGCTTCCAATATGAAGATGATGATATTCAGGTATGACCAACTGTTTATTCACAAGAAGAACCGATACAAGCTACTTGGGTACAGAGCCACCTTTATACAGAATTTGGCCAACTTGGTTTCAGTTGGTCACAACATGGTGTATATTCTTTTGTTTTGTGCCTGTCCAACAAAGCAGTATACACCACAATGTACCAACTAGAACCGGGTCGGCAAAACCTTTTATATTGATGGGTCGGCTTGGGCAGTGAAACTTGTGCCTACATAGTGGTACAAAAGAAAAGAGAGAGAGAGAGAGAGAGAGGGAGAGAGAGGGTGTGGAAATGGGAAGGCGGAGTGAACCTAAACTTTCCACTCCCCTAAATATTCATTCACTGAGTAAACCTTGTGCAGCCCATGGCCCTGGGAAGCGGGGGTGCTGGGGGTGCTGCAGCACCCCGGAATTTTTTCAGGGGGGCACAGCACCCCCTGCAAAAAAAATTGGTATGATATGTTTAATGTATATTATTATGTGCTTCGTTTACAAAATTGTCACACAGCCGACAGCTACAAATGAAGATTAGAAAGTAGACAATTATTACGTTTCTTTCACAAAATCCTATAAAATGTATCCCTTGAAGAGATTTTTTATTTTTTTTATATTTTTTTATATGATCAAAATTAATAATAGATAATTAAATAAATAAAAAAATTTGTGATAATTATTGGTGACCAAAAATGAAAATGACAGACCTTACCCCCCCCCCCCAATACCGAACGACCAAATTTTCAAATTATGGGACACACAACAACAAAAAAATATGTCCTCTTACCCCCCCCCCCCCCCCCCCCCCGCTTATTCAACGGCTGGCTGAGTCGTTGCGAAAATTTCGCAGTATATATATATATATCGAAAAAATCGTTCCCAGGGACCTGCAGCACCCTCGGTGACAAAATCGTTCCCAGAGCCCTGGTGCAGCCCCCTCCCTCGTGACACCGATACCCCAGCAAAAGCGTGACTCACACTACGATATTTTATTACGAATACAAGGTTACACATGATCATTCGGTGATATAACACAGTGGACATAAAGAGACTGGTATAGTTCACACTCATGTATTTTTAAAAAATACACCCCAAAAAATGATGAGAAAAAAAAAAACAGCAACATACAACAGGAAACAATACCACACAGAACAAAACGAATGAATAAAAGTCATAGGCTACCGATATTTTAGATCTTAATTTTTGCAGGCAATGGAAATAGGATTGTTAACTGTTTAAAGAATATCATCCTTATTGCACATTAACTATTGCTGCCGCGTTGTGTCAATATTACCAGTTTTTGTTTGCTTTTTTTCTGGAATCTTTCAGAAATACAAAGCGATTATCGGAGAAAGCATTGACAGCATAAACAGTGTAGAGCATCTGGTTGAACCGAGACTGCCTACCAGATATCCAAGACTTCCAGGGTACAGACCAAAACAACAGGACAATCCTTATAATGCATGGTATGTACACATAATGTAGTAGCTAAAGAAAGGAGGGGCGGGGGGGGGGTTTACTGTACAGAATTAGTTTTTGCCGCAAGGGCACATACCCTTTACCCTCGGCACGAAAAGGGGACACATTTGGTTTTGCGGAGGGAGGTGGTGGGGGGGGGGGGGGGGTCATGTGCCACATATGCTCCTAGATCCACCAATGGGGCTGTGATGTGTAGGGTAGGGGGGTTTCGAGTCCCCATCGCTCTCATAAGGTCTACACATTCACTATGTAAGAGGTGAAGCTGATCTGGCGACATTTCTTATTTACCGAATGAACAAGTGCACGAAAACAAAAGTCGAAGAACTAAGATTAGAACTCTTAATCGTATTGTACAAAAACCGTTCAACTAGCGGTATTTTCATAAATCTACAAGACTAATTACTTTTTAGCATAGACTTTATTCATTTTTTTTGGGGGGGAGGGTCGAGTAGATTTCAGTCCAAAGTGTTTTATGATAACGAATATTTTTAAAACAAACACCGACTGAAAGTTTGGTTGTAAAATGTGATCTTCATATTTGAAGATAATGTTTGAAACGAATGATGTCAGATCTTGCATACATTTCCTTTCCAATTGTAATGAATTATTATTAAGTAATCGTTATAATTCCCTTTGCCCCCTTTCCCGACCCTATATACATGATCTCAAGAAATGGAGATGCGAGGGAGCCTGTTGAGGTAAATTGTTAGGGACACGAATCTTTTCTTAGGTCCATGATATAACCGTGGTAGTCGGCATTTCGTACGCAGGCGTTATACTGAAGAACCGATTTACTTTATTATTCCTTCTGTCTGCCCCGTAAGATCAGGTACTGGAGGTGCGAGATCCAGGGAGCCAGCGGTGGTAAATTGGCGGGAAAACGAGTCGCAATCAAGGACAATGCAGCAGTAGCAGGGGTTCCTATGATGAATGGATGCCATGCTCTGGAAGGATTCACACCCGACTTTGATGCAACGGTCGTAACCAGAATACTAGACGAAGGTTGGTGTTCAAACAAGTTACCTCTGTCACATCGAAAAACCAAGTCCACTGATCCCACGCCGACTCTAAGGCTGCCCGATTCTAAACTGGTCATTCTAAACTACATAGCCATTTGCTTGTTCGGTCTGTTGTCATCCTGGTGTCGGTCTGATTAACATGTTAAGATAGAAACATCTTAATTGTAGAATTTTGTTAAGAGAATCTACTTCAAAAGCAAAAACATCGTTACTCACGGGGTTATTGGGAAAAGTACTCATAAGTTGGTTCTTGCAGGGAATTCCTTATGAGCATATAATCATTTGGTAGAGAAAAATCTAAAATTACAATGTCTTTTCAAATACCAATTAATACAGAACAAAACACTTTCAACGAACGCACATTGTAAATGCAAATACAAGAGAAAGGTTTCTTGAATTCGTTCTGCTTGGAACGAGTGTCACTTTCCCTCAAAGAAAAATTCCATCTTAACATTTAGAACATTTGCACCAACAGGAGGGTCTATTGCCGGTAAAACAGTATGTGAAAACTTGTGTTTATCTGGGAGCAGTTATACAGCAGCCAAAGGTCCTGTGATGAACCCTCACGATACTACAAGATCGTCTGGTGGATCCAGCTCGGGCAGTGCTGTGGTGGTACGTCTTCACACCTGCGTCAAACCACCAAACCGATTCCACACCGATTCCACACCGACTCCACAACGACCCATTGACAATGTGGGGTACAGCGATTTGTTGTTCGGACTGTTGTCGGTCTCGTTGTTGTGACTGGGGTATTCCAGAATTTACATGAATTATACCAAAGGCACATCGACTAAACGGACGCCAGACCGACATCAATCCTATTTTTTTTTACCTGCAATGGCAGGGAATCAGTCGGTTTGGAATCGATGAGGCGGTGTGACTGAGGTATTGCAATATTAACTATTAAGTTGTCAGAGGTGAAAAGATGTCTCTTGTCAATCAACTTTCTATTTAGGCCGTATACTTTTTGTGAGCTATAGTGCATATTGTTTACTATATACCTCTCTTATTAAATATGATAGGGTCATGAACTGTTGATGAAGTGTAAGTAAATAATAGTCTCTTACTGTCATTTAGTCAAAATATACTAGATATGAAAATTACAAAAAACAACATTGCTGCCCGAATGTGAGGTGACAGTTTTTGTGGTTTCTCAAATGTTTATAATTAAGAACATTCTTAGGGTCAACATCTTCTAGAGCCCGGCACACCCACATCACATTGGTTAATGATCTTGATCCATCCACTATACTGGCCACACCCACATCACATTGGTTAATGATCTTGATCCATCCACTATACTGGCCACACCCACATCACATTGGTTAATGATCTTGATCCATCCACTATACTGGCCACACCCACATTACATTGGTTAATGATCTTGATCCATCCACTATACTGGCCACACCCACATTACATTGGTTAATGATCTTGATCCATCCACTATACTGGCCACACCCACATTACATTGGTAAATGATCTTGATCCATCCACTATACTGGCCACACCCACATTACATTGGTTAATGATCTTGATCCATCCACTATACTGGCCACACCCACATTATATTGGTTAATGATCTTGATCCATCCACTATACTGGCCACACCCACATCACATTGGTTAATGATCTTGATCCATCCACTATACTGGCCACACCCACATTACATTGGTAAATGATCTCGATTCATCCACTATACTTTTTCGTAATAACTGCATGCTCAGCTACCCAGTCTTGTATAATTACCACTCGTAATCCTTATTTGTCATCAGGGGAGTCGCTAGACCTTTTTAGGGGGAGGGGTAGCGGTCACCGATAACCGACAAAACTAGCCACCAATTACCAAACAATATATTAATGCCAACGTGCCAATGTCTCCAAATTTATAAACCCGGAGCCTGGGGCTAATTTCCCTATACCTGCGCAAAGGCGCGTACGCAGGGGGGGGGGGGGGGGTTGGACCCCCCCTTTAACTCTTTGTATGTGTGTGTTTTAGAGGACCCCCCTTTAGTTTCCTTTTTTTAATAAAAAATAATAATAATAACAACAACAAAAAAATTGTGTTAATAGGTGACCCCAAAAAGCAGACCTTACCCCCCCCCCCCACGAAACGAAATATCGATCGGCCAAATTTTTCCCCCGCTTATTCAGCGGCTAGCTGAGTCGTTGCGAAATTTTTGGGACCAAAACAAAATAAAAAATGTGTCCTCTTACCCCACCCCCCCCCCCCCGCTTATTCAGCGGCTGGCTGAGTCGTTGCGAAATTTCGGCGTGATTTTCAAATTTTAACCCCCCCCCCCTCAAGAAATCCTGCGTACGCGCCTGGCTGCGCATGTACCCATTGTCATTTACCTCGACCTTATAAATATACGGTGTATTTCGTCAAAACTAGTCAGCATCGTAGCTTTATAAAATAAATTTTCTTTGTTTTTTTGTATTTGTGGGGGCGGCCCCGTACCCTAGCCCTCGCTGCGTCCAGTCACGATTCAGTGGCTAAGCAATGGCCCCCTTACTGTTAGGCCCCAGGATCAAAACCATGTCGATGTGCTATATTAGTGCCCTTTTGTGAGGCATTAATTCTCATTACTGTCAGTTATGACTTAAAGACGTAGGTCTCCTAGTTGATTAGCATAGTAGCACACACATGATCCAGCAGTCACGCAAAACAATCACTCGCAAATTATTATTTAATAAAATCTGAGAATGTATACTATTATCTAGATCTATTAGGAATAAATAATTGTCAAAATCATTCCATAATTTTGGGATAAAAATGATGATTCCACTATTATGACCAACAGTGTATTAAGGTTGACAATGACATTTGACACTGGTTTTTAATGATTGCTGGTGAAACTTCGGGAAAATACAAGTATTATAGTTGTAGTCTCTCTCGAAGTCGTCACAGCGGATAACAAGTCGCAGTTCGTAAGACTTAAAAAAAAAAAAATTATTTTCTGTTATTTGTTACTATGTATTGCTGTTTTCGATGATGTTCATATTGTTTATATTGCTCAAGTAATTTGTATCTTTCTTGCTCCCTCGAAGAGACAACTCTACCCAACCCCCTCCCCTCTCTCTCTTACTCACACCCTCATATCTCATGTATTTTATCTATCTGTAACATAAACTTAATCGTAGAATTGTAAGTTATTGATTCAAGGAGATTCGATTAATTGTAACTTTCTATACTACTGAAACCCGGCATTTTTTTTCCAACTTCTTTATTTCTTGTTCAGGTTTTGGCTGGTGACGTTGATATGGCCATCGGAAGTGATCAAGGCGGTTCGATTCGCATGCCTGCAGCATGGACTGGCATTGTTGGTCTAAAACCAACCTATGGGCTTGTCCCTTACACAGGCGTCTGGTCTATAGAGCCTTCTTTTGACCACATTGGCCCAATGGCAAGAACGGTTCATGATTGCGCCCAGCTTCTCGAGGTATGAAGTCTACATAATCCCTATCCCTTTTATTCGGCTTTTCAGAGCCTTAAAAAAAAAAAATTATAATTCTTCTTCTAATCATTTCTTCTCCTTCTTCTTCATCCTCTTCTTCTCCTTCTTTTTCTTCTTTCTCGTCTTCTTCTTCTTCTTCTCCTCCTTATCCTTCATCCTTCTTCTACTTCTTCTTCTTCTTCTTCTTCTTCTTCTTCTTCTTCTTCTTCTTCTTCTTCCTCTTCCTCTTTGTCCTCTCCTATTATTTGGAGTGCTTCTATTAAGAATAGTAAAGTTGTGTACTATAAGTATTCACTTGTATTGGTAAGTCTGATGTCGATAAAATAGAGCTACTCTGTAAAGTGATTCTTTTATTTTGCAATTTAACTTTCAGGTGATTGCTGGATACGACCATGGAAAAGATCATAGACAGTGCCAACACATTACAGTACCGGAATATATAAAAGAGGTGAGTAAACGACTACAGCCCACGAGACCGACAGGCAGCCTAAGAGACCGATAATAACCTTCTGAAAAGAACATTGGTCTCTTTGGCATTTTGACAATTTTTTTTCTAGGGTTCCGCCAAACCGACAATTCCGGTCCGGCGGACTGTCGCTTTACAGGGATGTCTCAGAGTAAACGCATGCTTTCGGATATACAGAAATGACGAACTGTGGACAAAATAACCTTACATGCTATAGAATTCTTTATTTCCAACTCTAGTCAAGGGGAAAGATTCTATGAAGTGTAATATGTTCATCGTGCTAATTGGTAATTATTTTCCTCCTCCTTTATTTAGCTTGAAGGTTCAAGTGTATCCGGGATTCGTATCGGTCTATTAGAAGAAGGATTGAATAACCCAAACGCAGATTCAGCAGTCAGTGGTATCGTGGAAAATCTTGTCAACAAGTTATCAATGTTTGGAGCTAGCATAGGGAGAATATCAGTTCCTCTTCATTTGAAAGGTACAGAAATGACTTTCAGTCAGTCAAATGAAATACTGTCTGCCCAAAGTCATTAATGTCTTGTATTTGTGTGCATCGGTTTCATCGCAAATCGATAATCAACAGTCTACATTAAAATTTGAAAGCTCCTTAAAGTCTCTTAAAGGTAATGCAAAATTTGGGAAATTCTGAAAATTGGATTGATAATAATTTCATTAATGTTGATATATTTGGATGCCCCTGTGGATGATAAGCACAATAAAATGTAGCCCCTAAAACACTTCTGCTTTCGAGAAATTGAATAATCAAACATTTACCGGTGCTCCTGGTAAATTTTAAATATTTTAAATAGCGCCTAAGGCCATTCCATGGTAGCTGCGACCATGACAGTCTCAGAATATGCAGTTCGATATATAATTTCCAAACGGAAATAGCAAACAGGTAGATTGTAGTAAAAAAAAAAAAAAACAACAACATCGTTTTAAAGTAAAAGTAATATCAGTCTTATTGAATAGCGCCCTCTCAAGACTCTTGAGAGGGCGCTATTCAATATAAAGAGTTCATTATTTACAATTTCATCACTTTGGACTCGATTTCAACTGCAACAACGATAATTGAATATTGTAATAATGCTTCTAATATGTTCATTTGCACCAAATTCATGACCTCATAGCAAAACTTTGTAATACCTAAAGACCTTTTGCAAGTCAAACTGTACATGTTCTTTTATCGTAATTTCGTAATTGGTAAAAATTTGTTACTGGAGATATCACTTCAATTTGTATATGGAACATTGAAATAATGGAGCACAAAAAAAACAACCTAAATTATTAGAAGCATTAATTGTGTGGCCGTGAGAACGATAACATCAGGATTTCATTTTTCTTTATAGCTCCTGGTATATGGAACTGCATTGCAGAAGGGGTTTTTGAAACAACTGTGCGTCATGGAGGTATTATACTTTAAAGAGTTTTTTTAATTGTCATTAGAGGTTGAGGTTTTAAAGTAATATAATAAATAATCAGCATTGATCTATGAGTGACCTAGGTATATGGAGGCGTTGTCGTCTAGTGGATAATAATACATTTAAAAAAGGGGGCGGGGGGGGGGGGGAGGGGGCACGTGCCCCAGTACCCACCGTACCTATGCCCTTGACACTCGACCCAGGTGAGATAAAGGAGTACATAAGAGAACCAATTACCCAGTATCTTACCAATGCAGCTAGGCAATAAAGCCGGGCTGAGGATAATGATGTTCTTAATAGAGGCTAAATATATAATAGGTGTATGTGCGTGTGTGTGTGTGTGTGTGTGTGTGTGTATATGTGTTGGGTGGGGGGGGGGGGAGGTGTCAGTCTGAGTAAATGATATGTGAACGACGGCTCTGGGAGGGGGTATCCAATTCCTAGGGTGGTAACAGTCATCTTATTTTACCTATGTTCTGCATTGGTTTATTCTTTGTGAACTTAAGTTTCATTATGTCATAATCTCGAAGGTGTTGGGAGTGGTCATCCTGGTTTTTATCCTTCTGGATTCATCAACGAGTCTGGGAAAATGTTTAAATCTCGTCCGAACGACATCTCAGATCATATGAAGGTAAAGAAATTTTAGAAATTAGTGTGCGACGACATTTTGGATTTGTCTACAATCTCAACAACTTGTAATAAACGATTTTAGTGGGCTTTTAAAATCAAATGATGATTTAATTTGTAACAAAGATGATTATATTTTTACATTTGTGAAGAAGCCTATTTGTAAATTAGTCCACCACAAATACTCCGTCTGATAAAACAATTGCCCTTAATCCGTCACCAATCAATCGCAAGTCACTGCACTGAATCAGAGGTTTTCAGATTAATACAATATTTTTTAAGGTTATAAAATGAGACCCTGATTTTCATCAATTTCGATGTATGCAAAATTTAGGGCCTAATGAATATTCACATTGTAAGAAAGTAATATTAGTCCTTTTCAGGACTCCCCAATCTTCACCACTCTTTCTGACATGGTGCAACCGTAAACCTACTGTATAAAATAATATTAGTTCTCAAGAATGACCGAATGTGGTCCGCTCTTGTGAAAACGTTGTTTAAGCAGGGACCTGGGGCAGGGACATGTACATTTACAATTTACAAGACTCAATGTCGATGAATCCTGCGTACTCTATTTTAAGGTTGGTTGAAGCTTGATTGTCGGTGAATTTATATATTTTCAGCTCGCCCTAATGAAAGCAGAGTATCTGAAGAAGAATTACCATGGCCGAGTGTATGGAAGGGGCCGCAATCTTACTATCCTGCTTCGTGAGGCCTACGAGAAAGCTCTTGAAGAGGTTGACATCATTGCCATGCCTACCATACCTTTCACTGCAACCAAACTGCTGTCAAAGGATGATCCTATTTGTGGTAAATATTGAAATTCACTTCATGAGAATAATAATAAGAAGAAAACGGACCTCACTCCACCAAAACAATTTTTGGATTATCAAGAAAAATTATTGTGGGATATGACAGATGGGATAGTAAAACAAAACAAAAATAATTTATTCATCGGTTTCAAAATCAAGCGACACATACTTGTGGTTTGCTTGATTCTTTGCAAATAAACGCGTACTCGGGTTAAACTGAATACACTCTTGCAGAAAATGCCTCCTTATTATACTGAAAACACTGGCACTATTACATCTTTAGCCTGCATTATTTTTTTTATATATAGGAATTTCGAAAAAAATTAATTTGATATTTCTTCAAAATATGCAAATGTAATTTATCTCCATACAACGTAATTATGAAATAATTACTTCAACTTCTTTATTTCATATCATTCATTCACCTAGTTTCATACATGAATTAAAAAACAAAATATTCTTGATTTATGACCAGTTTTGTGTTACCCACTGGTTAAGGTGTAATTGACTAGAATAATCACGTGAATCTGTACTTCCCGATGTAAGAATAACATAAGTCTTTTCCGATCCCACATCCTGTGCCATCATTATTCCTACAGAGTACCACAGACGAGCTTCCGAGGTGAATGTTAACACGCATCCTTTCAACTTGACTGGTCATCCCGCCCTCAGCGTCAATGCAGGCTTTTTAGAAGGCTTACCAGTCGGCCTTATGTTGGTAGGAAGACACAACGATGAGCTCACCATCTTCAAAGTCGCTCAGGCTGTAGAGAAAATCAGGGATGAGACAAACTAGAAACCATATATGGACAGAATTCTAACCTCTTTATCTTATGTTGGTAGGAAGACACAACGATGAGCTCACCATCTTCAAAGTCGCTCAGGCTGTAGAGAAAATCAGGGATGAGACAAACTAGAAACCAAATATGGACAGAATTCTGACCTCTTTATCTTATGTTGGTAGGAAGACACAACGATGAGCTCACCACCTTCAAAGTCGCTCAGGCTGTAGAGAAAATCAGGGATGAGACAAACTAGAAACCATATATGAACATAATTCTGACCTCTTTGTCTTATGTTGGTAGGAAGACACAACGATGAGCTCACCATCTTCAAAGTCGCTCAGGCTGTAGAGAAAATCAGGGATGAGACAAACTAGAAACCATATATGAACATAATTCTGACCTCTTTGTCTTATGTTGGTAGGAAGACACAACGATGAGCTCACCATCTTCAAAGTCGCTCAGGCTGTAGAGAAAATCAGGGATGAGACAAACTAGAAACCATATATGAACAGAATTCTGACCTCTTTATCTTATGTTGGTAGGAAGACACAACGATGAGCTCACCATCTTCAAAGTCGCTCAGGCTGTAGAGAAAATCAGGGATGAGACAAACTAGAAACCATATATGAACAGAATTCTGATCTCTTTGTCTTATGTTGGTAGGAAGACACAACGATGAGCTCACCATCTTCAAAGTCGCTCAGGCTGTAGAGAAAATCAGGGATGAGACAAACTAGAAACCATATATGAACAGAATTCTGACCTCTTTGTCTTATGTTGGTAGGAAGACACAACGATGAGCTCACCATCTTCAAAGTCGCTCAGGCTGTAGAGAAAATCAGGGATGAGACGAACTAGAAACCATATATGAACAGAATGCTGACCTCTTTGTCTCATGTTGTTGGTAGGAAAACACTACAATGAGATCAACGTCAGACTCAGGATAACAAAGTATTTAAAGTAATCCTTGCATTTCCATAATTTGATTAAACGAATTCGTTTTCACTGGAAGCCTGCCGTAGCAACAAACAGATTTAACAAAAGACTTAACTCCATTTCGTTGACGATCAGCCATGCATGAAGTCTTTCGTCTTTTTTGAGCATGGCTGATCGCCAACGAAACCGATTTAAATCCGTTTTCAACTCTGGTTGTTGCTACAGCAGGCAGCCAGTGAAAACGAACTCGTTTAATCAAATTGTGGAAATGCAAACTTTACTTGAAACAAACAGAACTTTGTTATTCCTGGCTCATTTTTCCTGATTGAGGTGTAATATGAAAGGGCAGAAAATGACCTTTGTAGAAATGTGATTTTCCCTTTGAAATTCAGATACCGTTCGCCAAATGACCTTTTGGTACCCCCTCTTTAAATTGTTTTGAATCACTCATGCGTGAACTATGCATCAAATGAAAGAGGAGGAACTAAGCTTCACAAATATGTGCTATTCATTAATTAAAAATTGTGATTAAGTTATGATAAAACATCGATAATACTGGGTTTCGTTTTTTCTGGGACGCACTGTATATACACATGTATATATTTTACCACAAAAAGTAATGTATACAGCATATATATATATATATTTGTTAATAAATAACAACAATTGGAATTGTCAGCATGATGTACTGATCATAAATTGCGTCCTATCTTTTTATCTTGACTACTTTAATGAACCAAACACGTGGACTCTTTATCATGTTTATCGAATATAAATCTGCACATGTAATTTATAGATCTACTTTCAATTATACATTTATTACATGACAATTGTCTAAATTTCATCGAACATCAAAGAGATTTGACAAGCAACATATAGATATATATAAGAGATTTATTGGAGGCGGTGTGGCGATCGTCGTCTGGCTCTCATGAGTTTCGAGTTGGGTTCGAGTCCTGCGCTGAGCAGTCAAAAATGCAATGATGATTGTCCCTGCGTTGTGTGTAAGCGCTCTCTTTAAGAATTTTAGCTGAGTTCTGGTGATGGCAGAAGATACATTATCACAGAATTCAACAAAACTTACACTGAATGTTCAAGATTACAAATAAATGACGTTTGCCGTACACATTTTGTAGAAAATGTATAGTTGCTGAGTAATGAGCATAGAAAGATAAGGAAATCAAGGTAATTAGGCCCGACATCATGTACTTTAATAACTCAGGTCACTAAGTGCAAATGAGAGTTGTGGTTTTTATTGAAGATGATTTCCATCAAGTTTTTGTGATTTTTTATTTTATTTTACTGGTTCAAACAGTCTATCTACTGCAGGGTACGTAAACAGTTGAATAATAGCCATATTCTCTCTGCATACGATTCCGAAACCAGTTCTCTAGATCAGCTTTAACGCAGGCCCGGGTTCAGGGGAAAATACTCCTTAAATCGGACAGAACATTAACTGGAGGGCCCCATGTGGAGCACAGTCACACCCTATGCACGTTAATATGCTACACTTCTGGCAATGAGTGAAGTGTAGGGTGTAAGCCCGATGTTTAGTTAGCCTTTAAACAAGGCCACTTGTCTGATAGACGCCGAGCGACTAAAACGAGACTAATCGCGAAAACCCAAGTGAACGCGAGAGCGAGGAGCCCGTTCCGTATGGTTGGCTATCGTATGGTTGGCTATCGCCTTCAAAACGCGTGCCAAGACCGTACGCGTGCCTGTCAGAGCGTACGCGTGGTTCTGACAGAACGTACGCGTGGGTCCATCATAACGTATATGGAAAGCCGTTGGTGACTTTATTCACGTGCCCCAGACGTATGGAACGCGGCACACGTCTGCTAAATTGACCAATCACCGCCTGTTATTTAGCAGGCGCGTGCAAGGTGCGATAGCACACGCCTGTTACTTTATTAGCACACGTGTGCCTTTTTCCAGACGGATGCTGTTTACTGCGCATGCGTCTGGAATTGATTGACCAATCAGATATCTTGTTTAATATGGAGTTTAATGTGTGTGTACGGTGAGTGCATGCAGCGCAGACAAGCAAAAATGTGCCTTGCACGTGGTGATCGACGCACGTGGTACTCTTACCGTTCTTAAAAGTATTGACTTTGATTTCTATGTCAGAAAAGAAGTATAAATTGTAAGAGTACTTCCAATGAGGTTGGAACCTTCTGATGCAAAGAATAGTATGTCAAATTATAAACGAGGTACCGAACTGCTATATGATTAACGTTTATCCTCCACCTAGTATTGGAGTTTCTAAATACTATAAAGCTAGTCTAGGGTTGATAAAGAAAAGGTAAGTCTAATATCATGAATGGTAGTTTCCAGATTTACAGTCTATCATTCAGAACCTACTTTAATTGCAAATTAGGTGATATACTATGCAACAGTGCCATTGTGATAATGTGTATGATCCAGTGTAGATACATAGTGTTGGAACAAGATCTCTCCCCCTCTTCCATCTCTCCTTTATCTCTCTTGGGTCAGGTCAACCTCACTCGTGGTAGGGGAACCCACACACTCTGTCTTTCTCTCCCTTTCTCCCCCAATATTCTCGTTAATGTTGTGTTGTTGAGCAACACTCTCCATTGGGCTAGGACAGGGGGATTAGTGATAGGAGGCATGTTTGCTTATCAGATTAGAAGTTGGAAACACTGTGAAGAGTTTGCATTTGCTTGGCACAAGGGATTGTCTGACCATTATTATTTGGTAGTTTTCAATCGAATAAACCTGCTCATATTTATCCCATAGGCCTAATTATATTTAAGGGTTGATGTTTGGATGTTGATTGGCTTATAGTACAACATGTATTGCTGTATATTGCATAAGTGGAAGTTATCACATTTCTTAGAGACAATCAATTTAATATTCTTTAGTCTATATTTCTTGTCTTGTATATAGTTTATGATTATTCCTTTATATTTCTATGTTATATGTCATATGGGTAGTCGAAGCATAATAATAGTGCAATAATTATAGGTGAATCACATGCAGATTGCAGTATTGATTGATAAGTTCGTTTTCCTAAAACGATATTTACACCTGAGATTATGTATGTGTTGTGTGCTGGAGGAATACAACATATTTCTATGTTAGTATTATTATTTCTAAATCTGAGAGGATAATAGATTAGCGCGTTTAGATGAGATTGCCTAGGTACAATGAAGGTCTAATTTAAAGTTAGGGTATAACGAATCACCATCAGGGCCGTCTCCAAGGGGGGGGGGGGGGTGTGGGGGTGCGACACCCCCCCCCCCCCCCACCTGTCAGGATATTGTCGGGAAATTGCGCTGCCGTCGGGAAAAAAGAGAAAAGGGGGAGGGGAAAAACAGAGGGAAAGGGAAAGAAAATAAAAAAAAAAGAAAAGAAAAGAAAAGAAAGAAAGGAAAAGAAAGGAAAGAAAGAAAAATAAAGGAAAGAAAAGAGAAGAAAGAAAGAGAAAAGAGAAAAAGAGGGAGGAGAGGAAAGAAAAGAAAAGAAAGAAAAGGAAAAAAAGAAGAAAAAAGAGTAAAAGGGAAAGAAAACAAACGGGGGATGAAAGAGAGGAGAAAGAGGGGAGGTAAGAGCCTGAGAGAGGAGGAGTGGGAGTAATAGAGAAGGGGGTTGTTGGGCATATGCATGCAAGTACAATAGATAGTCCATAGGAAAAACAATTTAGCCTACGGCCCCGGGTTTATAGGGTTAAATTTGTAGATATTGGAAATTTAATTTTGTCGGTAATTGGTGGCTAGTTTTGTCGGTAATCGTTGGCCTCTACACCCCCCCCCCACTGAAAAAGGTCTAGCGACGCCCCTGATCACCATATTAGGTATAAATATGATGTGTATAAGAACAAAACATATATAACATTATCTGTATGTAAGTGTTTATTCGATTTGATAATAAAAATGCTCTTATAATAATGTAGATGTTAGTTAATAGGAACTCTGTAGGACCATGCATTATGGTTCAAGGCATGCCCACATAGAGAATTTTGTTATGTTAGGGGTCGGGGCCAAATGCAATGAATTATTGATAATTTATTGCATTTTCTTTGTGTGTTTTATTTTATTTCTGGGGGCGGCGACGTACCCTAGCCCCCGCTGTTTACTCGTACCGTACCAAGGGAATACTGCGGGGAGGGTAGACCGAATGGCGTAGCGTGGTCGTAATGGGGTTTTTTGGGGGGCAGGGGCAGGATGATGGGTCGCGTACTTTATTGGGGCACGACTTTTTTCTTTATTTGTTCAGAATTGTACGTTTTCAATAAATGTTTTCTACAAATAATCGAGGCCATATGGCGACCCCCTCCCCCCCCCCCCCTGCGC